CAAGCATAATTTTCACTAAGTTCAAAGATGATGTTAACTAGATCTTCCTTGGGTCACACATATCCTATATTGTTCTAACTCCCCCTTCCATTTCTATTTTTTTTTTATATTTATTTGTTTTAGGATATCTTGTTACTTTTTTGTTTTCTTAAACTTGGTAGTTTATTTATTGGAATATTTTTTGTTGATTTTCTGATTAAGTGTCTTTCTTTTCATGCTCTTGATGTGCTCCCTCATTTTTCTTGATTGTATATATTAATAAGATGCATAAATATTGGAGCATTTTCCACCTTAATTGAAAGTAGGCTACACATTAAAATAATGGTAGCTCAGTTGACGTTAGGGAACTGATAAGTGAGGATAAAAACATGTGTTTGATCCTCCTTAGAACCATATTTGGGAAGGGTTTAAAGCATTAATCCAAGAACCCGCCCCCGAATCGGACTAGTCGCAAAGCGATGAACTGAATAGAATATCTCAAAAAAATGGTAGGCTACACAAGGCTCAAGGTGCACATGACTCTAGGTGTGCATATGACTCAAGACAACTTTGGTCAAAAAGTTCTACACCTGCTTGTCCCCTAATCAATTAGTCTTTGAAAAATTGTGCCATAGTTCATCTACAAATACAATTTGAAGAAAAGCCTTGAATTAATAAGTAAGCATTTGAGAGAGTTCATCCTAGAAGACATAAATAAAGTTCCACCACATAAATGAGAGAGAAATCCTCTAAGTGAGAAATAAAATTATTGTAATTCATTCTTAGTTGGTGAAGTATTTGTGCATAAACCTCTAGTCTTGCACTAGAGAGACGATCTTTGTAATACTACTTTTATAATGGAAGCTTTCTTAGACTAATTGATCTCATGGTTTTTACTCCTCACATGAGGAGGTTTTCTACATTAAAATTGCTTTGTATTCTCTATGAGTATTTCTCGTATTTCTTTGTTTTTCTCTACTTTCGACTGGTTTACATCACTTCTACAAATAAGAGTCTTTTGGATCAAGCTCCTTAACCCAACACTAGTATCAAAGCTCTTAGGTCAAGGGCTGTGAGAGGTTCAAGTCTTCAAGATGGAAGGTATTGTCACTTATGATGGTGAAATATTCAAACTCACTGTAGAAAACTACTCCTACTGGAAACATATGATGGAAGATCACCTTTATTGTAAAGATTTGTATGAGCCAGTCCTGAGCACAAAGAAGCCAGAAGGAAAAAGCGACAAATAATGGGAGCTCTTAAATCGCATGACAATAGCAATGATCTGAAAGTACATTATCAATAGTCTCTTCAAGCATATGGTGACTTACACCAATGCTCATGAACTATGGACAAAACTTGAATTCTTGATTCAAAAGAAGATACCAAGGAATAAAACTCACTTAATGCGTCGACTTATCAATTTTAACTATAGGGACAGATAAAGCATAATCGAGCATCTGAACATATACAAAGGGCTCGTAAATCAGTTAATAGAGATTAACATAAATATTGATGACGAGTTACATGCTCTCATACTTTTCAGCTCATTGCCTGAGAATTGGGACATCTTGGTGGTAATGTTAAGCATCTCGGTCGTAGAAGAAAAATTGACCATGGACTTAGTCCCAGACAACTTATTGAATGAAGAGGCTAGAAGGAAAGAACAAGGAATGACTACCAGTACGAGGCCAATTTCTTCGAGAATTGTGGGAGGTCAAAGAATCGAGAATGAGTAAAAGTAAAGGTCGAGATAAGTCTTAAGGATGGTCAAAGCCGAGATTCGACTTAGCATGCTACTATTGTGAGAAACCAGGTCACAGGAAGTTTGAATATCAGACGTTCAAAAGAGATCAGAAGAATTACACCGTGAAGCCGGATCAGATAGATTCAAAGAAAAAGGATGAGAAGAGTACCATGGCTGTAATTACTAATGCCAAAGAAGATGTATTCCTAATCAGTGAGGACAATTATCTTAATGTAGCATATGATGACTGTTCATGAATTATAGGTTTAGAAGCGTCCTTCTATGTCACTCCACATGAAGTGTTTTTCTTATCGTATAAAAGTAACGACTTTGGTATTGTGAAGATGGGTAGTCAGGTTACCAGCAAGATAGTCGGCATTAAAGAAGTCACCTTGACTACAAATGTCAGATGCAAATTAGTTCTAAAGGTGAGACATGTTCCCGATATGCATCTCAACCTGATCTCGGCAGGAAAGCTAGATAAAGTCGGGCCAGTGAACTACTTTAGTGCAGGCAAATGGAAACTTGCTAAAGAAGCATGGTGTCGTTCAAGGTATGAAGGGTTCGTTTACCACCCTTACAACAAAATATAAGCTTGTAGAATTGAGTTATGGAGGGTTCTTAAAAGTTTGGAAATGGTTTGGGCCTTGCAACTTCATTAGATTATCGTTGAAAGTGGTGATCTAATTGTTATAAAGCTCATCAACCAAAAGGATCATGGTGACTGTGATTCCCGTCTAGTAGCTTGCATTCAAGAATGGGTTAATAGGGAATAAAATAGTATTTTACTTCACTTGGATTGTCATTCCAATGCTTGTGTTGATTGGATGACTAATTTAATATTTGGTGGAGGAAATGGTTTGTGTACATATCATACTTCTATGGATAATTTCTTTGCTTTTATATATGGACTTGATGACTTCTACGACAACTCACCACCATACTCTAGACCTGATGACTACTTTTCTTTTCTTTTCTTTGGGCCCTTGCCTACTTAAAAAAAGTTATATATATTTTTTATAATAAAAAAATATAAATGATGACATTTGAAGAAAAAATAAAATTGAATATTGGTTGGAATATTTACATATTTTGATTATATCTTAATAGAGTCTTGAGTTATTTTAAATGATCTCTTTGGATTGATTTTTCTATTACCGAATATTTCATGATTTATTTTTTAATTTTAGGATTCTACTTTTATTATAAATAAGGCTTGATATTTTGTCTTTTATATCATATCAATCACTTTATAACACATCAATATACCATATTGTTCTATATTCTTCTTTTTTTAACTTATGAAAAATCCCTATAATTTATCACATAGAACAACAACAACAACAACAACAATAATAATAGGGTTTTATTAATCTCATATTAAAGGAGTTAAGTTATCTCATGTCATAGAGATAAATTTATGGCTCTTTCACCTGAAAAGAAAAAGATTGCACAATTATCGAAGGGTGTGTAGAAGTAAAAACTTATCTCATATAATATGTGAATAATTTTGCCCATAATAATAACAATAATAATAATAATATCTCTTTTCACAAAAATATCTTGTATGGGACGCGTGCACACACACACACAAACACTTGCACGCACACGCGCACACATACATTCTTAAACCTAAATCTATTTAAATAAGTCTCGCCCTATCTTTCTCTCCGGTTTCAAAAGCGGCACGACGTTAACACAAGCCAAGAACACCTTAGTATTAGCATCTTCTTCTCTAATAATCAAGAAAGGTAGCTTCAATCTCCACCATGATTATTTTCCATTTTCATTGCATATCACTTATTATAATTATAATTTTATTTTATTTTGCCTTGTAATTATTTGATTTATTCAAAAAAATATAGAATAAAAAAATACTTGGATTGAACTAAACCTAGGCGATTATGATGTGTTTGGTATGGTTTGATATTCTAATTAAAAGTACATGAATGATTTGGTTCATTTTTTTTTAAATCAAACCAAATCAAATCACAAACTCCTTCAACTATGATTATTTTTAATATAGATGAATCTTTGTTGTGATTTGATTTGATTTTGAGGGAAAAATAATCTAAACAAAACCATCGACTTTTCGATTCAGGGGTCCTATTAGAGCCGACAAAACAGACTCAGCTCAGCCGGCCAGCCCGCCTCGCTCACTAAACGGGGCGGGCTTGTCTTTTGGCGGGTATAGGTAGGCCGAGACAGGTTAATGTAAAATAGACTTGGACTGGCGGGCCAACCTGCCAAACGAGGTGGGGTGGACTGAGTTTTTCAGCCTACTTTCAAAAGCGGGATAAGACAGACTGACTTATTTTTTGATAGGTTAATAACAAGATGGGGCGGGACAGATCGCCTACTTTGCCACCTCTAAATCCTATCAACTTTTTGCTAATCAGAGGATTGATTCAAAAAAATCAATTTTAATCCAAACCATTTTATGTTGATTGCCTTTTTCTCAAATAAACATAAATTTGAATTCACTTTTTATTTCTTTCCATGATCAAATGAAGGTCAAATTTGTCTAACAATTATAATAAAATCATAATTTTTAAGTAAATAAATATTTTTGGTTCTACTAATCTTTAAGGGAACAGTGACCAAAATGTCACTGTTCACCAACTTTTTTACCTAAATGCCACGCGAACAGTGTTATTTTCCAATCTGTCACGGGGCAAGTTCGCTACCCGGTGTAGCGAACTCGGTTTGCTGACGTGTCACGTTTCTAGTGGACACTAAGTTCGCTACACGGGGTAGCGAACTTCATTTTTTTTTTTTAACTTGGTACGTGTTATCTACTAGAAATGTGACACGTCAGCAAACCGAGTTCGCTACACCGGATAGCGAACTTGCCCCCATGACAGATTGGAAAATAATAATGTTCGCGTGACATTTAAGTAAAAAAGTTGGTGAAGAGTGACATTTTGTTCGGTGTTTCATCTTTAAGTATGTAAATTATAATAAAAAAACAAACTCAAAGTTCACTTTTTATGCCGAAATTCCCTTTTTTCTGTTATTATTGGCCATTTTTACACAAACTTATACACATGTGAATGTCATTGAAATGTTACTTATGTATCTTGAAGAAAAAGAAACATAGTTACATATTAGTTTATTTTTTGGTAAATATTAATAGTTTTCTTAGTTAAGAAGTCATCATTGTAAGTTGAAGTAAGCAACTCCAAGAAGTCACACTTATCAAGTTCGCATCCTTTTGTAAGGTATATATAACCTAAGCCCAAGTCTTCCAATAGTCTTAAATTCTGCTACCTCAGCTACCATTGTAAACAACCATCAACTTTTTCTCCTTTGTTGCAACATTAACATCTCACAAATCTAGAGATAGAAAGAGAAACGGGTTGAAGATGAAGATCACTGTCATGTCTGCTGATGAACAAATTATCACGTTGGATGTGGATCCCCACGAATCTGTAATCATCAAAGATCCTACTTTTGCTTTTATCTTCATCTCTATCTTTTCATATTACTGCTTTTCATTACTTTTTTTTTTCTCTTTCTTTTTGTGATAGGTGGAAAACGTCAAAGCATTGCTCGAAGTTGAGGTGAGTTCTCCATTACCCATCTTCTTTTTACCCAAAAAAATTAAATTTTTGATAAAAAGTTTTTTTTTTTTTTTGGGTGTTGTTTTTGGGTGGGGTGATTTTCTTCCAATGTCTAATGTTGCTGAGGATATTTAGGTTTTACGTTATTTTTTTTTTTTTTTTTCATTATTTGACAACCTAGAAGCAAAATCCCATGTGAAGGTTTGTTTGATGATACTGGTGGTCGATTTATGTGTCTTTTTTTAGTTTGAGATGACACGTGAGGTGTGCATGAGATGTTGGATCTTATTTGATTTTAGTTTGTGTATCTTTTCTTTTCTTGTCTTGGGGGGAGGGGTTACGTTGCTTCTGTTCTGATATTGGATTTCTTATTGTGTTTGTTTGGTGCTAAACTTGTGCTCATGAGAAGACAAGTGTGTCTCTTCAGCAACAGCAACTTCTGTTTAATGGGAGTGAGGTGAGGAATTCTGAGAAGTTGAGTGCCATTGGTGTTAAGGATGGCGATTTGCTAATGATGGTATCTGGTGCTGCTGCTTCTAGGTTTGCCTTTTTATTATGTTACATTACATTGCATTGTGGTCTAGTTCTTCTTACGTGTTAAGTGTGAACTAATAAATGCTAGAAATTTATAAGTAAAAGAACACTGAGATTCTCTGTGACTTGGCTATGACCCTATACTTAGGTTATAGTGATGTAATAGGTCGATATTTCACCAGTGATATAATCTGTTAAATCTCTGACAATTTTTCTTTCTTTTACCTGAAAAAATCTGGGTTGTAGCTCAGCTTGCTCCACACTCTATCCATTTTCTCCGGTCACAGAAAGATTCTGGGTTGTAGCTCAGCTTGCTCCATACTCTATCCATTTTGACAAGAGTCTAATCATGCCTCTCCCCTAACATTTTACTCAGTAATGCATTTTCAAATAACCCGAGCTGAGCTAAATGGATGCCATTTGTTTACGAAAGCTGTAAAGAATATGCATAACTTAGAAAATCAAGTGATACATCTGTAAGTAAGGTAGTGGAAGTCTGGAAGATGTTTATTGGGTACTGCTTGAAAATAGACTTACTATTTTTTTAGATGAGAAACTATTTCTATTATTTAATCTATTTCTCGCATTTGCTCACCATCCATGTAATTTGTATAATTGAATCTTGATTGCGAAAATAGTAAAAGAATAAAGAAAGAAGCTATTGCATGCTAGAGAACTGTTGGGTTGTTGACATATGATGCACGTCTCTTGACTTTAATCTTTATATATTCTAAATCAATTTTTGGAAAAGCACATTTTCATAGAAGTGAAAATTATCAATAACTTGATATACTTTTTGCGATAAATTTACATTATTTCAGTGGATCTACCAATGATTTGAGCTTAAATGCTGATGGTTCTGCTATAAACCCTGGTGCTTTCCAGCAGCACATTAGACGTGATTCTAATTTGATGGGTCAGCTCTTTCAGGTAAATTGATGCTCTGTTATGACTAAGTTTAGTCATTTTGTTTATTACGATTTGAAGTACATGCATGATATGGTACTCTGATGCTTAATAAAATTATTGAAACATATTCCTTTCCCACTGATTAGCGGTTTAGATGTAAGTGTAATCCAATATCAAATTATGTGATATAATTTGGAAAATTTTAATCACTAGCTTGTTCTTTGGTTCTCTCTCTCTTGTGATATGCTTATGACCATCTTTAAAATGGAACATACAGAGTGATCCAGAGTTGGCGCAAGCTATTCTAGGGAATGATCTTAATAGATTGCAGGACATTTTACGAATGCGTCGAAATGAATCAAAGCGCCAGAAAGAAGAAGAGCTTGTAAGTAGGCTGTATGGTGACTATTGTTTCCCTACATTTGTCAAGAGATTGAGTTTAATTGCATCATTATAAGCTACTTTACTTATAACCCTTTGGAGTTCTTTTTTATTCCTTGTGTTTTGCCATTATTCCGCTATTATAATATGCTTCTAAATTTGTTTTGAGTTCTTTTTTCCCAGGCTCTTCTTTATGCTGATCCTTTTGATGTTGAAGCACAAAAGAAGATTGAAGCTGCCATCCGCCAGGTCAGTTCTTTTATCTTCTTTTTTTCCCCCTGATTCTGTTAGAGATAAAAATAATATATGAACCTCCACCTAACTGTTTAAGTATTAGTAGAGTTGACTTTTGACTTGATAACAAAGCCTTATGACTAATTATTCATGAATTTGCTCCTTGCTTCTCTTATTTGTCTGAAGTTCAAGCAGTAGGTAGTGTATTAGGGATAAAAATCATTATCGGACCTTCTCCTAACAGCTTAAACTTTTAGGAGAGCTGGTTTTTGGCAATTTCATTGTTAACATTAAGCAAAAGTTATGCTTTACTACTCTAAGAGTTGTCTTATGAGGGGCTTGTCCCCTTTAAAACGCTTGATGCATCCACTTATTGGACATCTATTTTCATTTGTGTTTGGGATTGTCCAGTAGCTATCATTATGTGTCAATTTTCAATTGTTATTCATTAATTTAAATCACCTATTTATTATGCTTGTTTTCTTGAGGCATGATTCTGTCCTGTGTGATTGTTTGTAATTATGTTGACTATATATAACTTTTGATGATTCTAATGAATTCAAGAGCATATCGTTGACCTAACCATGTCTACAACAGAGTTAAATTAATATTTGTTTAGATATTGACTTGTCTCCCTGAAAAAAAAAAAAATACTAAATTAAATCTTCTTTACCCCATTAATCTTTAGTTAACTAGTTTATACTTTGTAATTTATTGAATAAACACTAGCATTGCCATATCACATAAATTTCGGCAAATTTGTTAATTTGTGCTTGTCGGTACAGAGTTCAGAACACATATGTTTAGTCATGATCAGTTTCTGTTAGATTACTATGTAACATGCAACCTATTGCATCTTGTTGTCCTCAATAGCTACTGTTTGCTATCATTGATTATATTTTAAACTTCCCCCTTCCTGATTCACGATATCATGATTGTTTTATTATGAATAATGGCAAATTAACTAATTTTACAGAAAGGAATTGATGAAAATTGGGCAGCTGCACTAGAATATAATCCTGAAGCTTTTGCTAGAGTGGTATGTATGATTTTTAAGTGTTGTATTTAATGCTAATATCTTCGTTGTTTTTCATAATAAAATCCTAGCTTTTTCTGCAATATTTCAGGTCATGTTGTATGTTGACATGGAGGTCAATGGTGTCCCGCTGAAGGTAAATGGCTTGTTCTCACAACAAGTGCATTCATTCAGGGTTTTATAAGTAGACAGATTAAAGGAATTATATTTCAGTTCCCTTTCTTTCATTTATTACTTTCTGTAAAATAATACATGACTAGACTGCTCTTGTCTTTCTCAAGCTGTGAGGGACTACTAGTGCCTATTATCCATTTAATTTAGTGGTGCATTCTATCTATTGCAGTTTCACTTTCCCTCTTCAATGACAGGGGATATGAATGGAACACACATTATTGGATTTTCACTTTGTTTCAGGCATTTGTTGATAGTGGAGCCCAGTCTACCATAATATCCAAAAGCTGTGCTGAGCGTTGTGGGTATGTACATTGGTTTGTCTGGAATACGCTTCCAAGACATCTATAATACTATATGATTAAATTTATTATGTAGCACATTTGCATTCCTATGAATTCACTCTTCTTGTATATAACTAGATAGATGTGCAATTAAGGAAGTAAATTTCATGTTAATTGCTTATGTATTGTGCTCAATATGTGAATTAAACATAAAACAGGTAGTTCAGAGAAGGAAAAAAGAAAAGAAACAATTTCAACGAAATCTTTCAATTTTTTATTTTACTATGTTCAACTCTATATATTTCTCTATCCGTAGAGTACAACGAATGTACATAAATGACTATATCAGAGTTTATGTTATTTGTATTGATAGTTACACTAAAAGGGATGTCTTTATGTTGCATTATATGGCTAATGAGACCCTTAAGGCTCACAAAAAGAAACTTCATAAACGAGTCAATTCACTATTAAAAAAGGGGAAACTATTTGTTCTTTTAAAGGACACATAGTTGTGTCATTTTAAGAGAGAGAAAGACACAACAGTATTCTTTTTTTAAATTTAATTTTTTTTAAAAAATCACCCACTTTTTCTCCCATGATTTTCATTGCTTATGTTTTTCTCTTACTTAAAATAACATAACTCCATGTCCTTTTAAAGGACAAACAGTAAACCCATTAAAAAATGGATTTAATGTCTCTCTGCTTAAACACTTTAAGGCTCACAAAAAACTTTTAATGTCTCTGCTAGTTTTAAGCAACACCAATCTTCCTTAAAGTCATTCATGAACTTATCTTTCACGGTTGCACCTATATCCTGTAACTTTAATTGCATAAATCACAAGCTTAACAAATGTAAATCATATTTCAAGCTCTTATGCAGTGTCTAGACAAATGTATGGTCATGTATGATGTACCTTCCAATTCCATGGCTGCATTTGTTAGATGCCAGATTTTATGATGTGGTAACATTTTTTAATGATCATGTCATCTTCCAGATTGTTGAGACTTTTAGATCAGCGTTACAAAGGAATTGCTCATGGAGTTGGCCAGTCAGAAATATTAGGTCGAATACATGTAGCTTCAATCAAGGTAAATGTTTTTAAAGGTCTTATGGAGAGAATTTTGTGATGCTGAAGTTGTGTGTGTTTTATTGCTTGCTGATATTGGTAGATACTAGATAATGATAATATGTTTAATTTATTCGCATAGATGTCTATTTTGGAGATCAATTATATTTGTAATATTTTTTCTTAAAACATCAGTGAGCATGATCAATTGTCTGGTATTATTTACTGATACAAAATGTATTAATATATTACTGAGAAGGATCCTAGTTTGTGATTACAGATTATCTCCCTCTGCCCTTATTCATATATGACTGTTTTGTGTCATTCATTTTAATGTGTTTTTTTCGTAAAGGGTTATCTCCCTTTTATGACTGAAATGTTATGAGTTCGAATACGGGAAGTAACTTCTTTGCAAATTTGCAAGGGTAAGGCTGCATACAAAGATTGTCCTTATCCTCATTGGTCAGGGTTAAATGGGGAATGGTTTTTTTCATAAGGGTGAAATGATTGAAGACATGAAGTGCAATTTAGTCATGAGGGGGCCTTCACGTCTCCTGGTTTTCCTGTGAATGCTTATTGGGAGTATGATTTTCTTAATGTGTGGAATGTCTACTGGAGGTCATCTTGTAAATTATGTATTGATGACATGTCTCATGTTTCACCAATGGAAGAATGTTTGAGGTCTTTATGCAGGATTATTTCAATTGAATCATTTGAAATTGATTTATTTTAATTTGCACTAAAATGTCTGACTGTTCTCTTACAGTATGTTTTTGTTTATTATATGTTTCACCTTAACTTCCATTTTGTGCATGTATTTTTTCCTGTAGATTGGGGATATATTTTACCCTTGCTCATTCTTAGTGCTAGATTCTCCCAATATGGAGTTTCTCTTTGGGCTGGATATGCTCCGAAAGCACCAGGTACCATCCTCTATTGCAATCTTGGATATCATTGCTTTCAGTAATTACACTGAGCTGTTATTCTTATAAATGTGGCTCATTTCTGCAGTGTATAATTGATTTAAAAGAAAATGTCTTGCGAGTTGGTGGAGGAGAAGTTTCTGTGCCATTTTTGCAAGGTTGGTTTTCGCATATGTGGATATGTGATAATGACCATTTTTTCTCCTTATAAGTTTGCATAGTTCTCTTTTCAACTCGATCCTGTTCTAGATTTTAAATATAGTTAGCCTTCTTGTCTGTTATGTTCAGAGAAAGACATACCATCTCGGTTTTTAGATGAGGAAAAGTATGCTAAGGAAGCTTCAAACTCAGGAGGCCCAGTAAGTATACTTTAAGCTTTTCTTAAAGCAACTGTGTTGAAACTGTAAAACTCTAATTTGTTTCTAGATATGGAATGTGCAGTCATTGTTCTTATTCTTTTGATAGTTCTGTAATAGATAAATTTCATATCATAAAAGAAGAGATGAGAATATGCCATTGCTGAGTGTAAGGCTTTGTCTTTGGACTCTTAGTTTCGATTATCAAATTAACAAAATCAATAGGAATCTTATACTCCTTTTGATAAACCAATTACAAATCAAACAAAATTAAATAGCCTAAAAATAAGGAAACATTTAAAATTAAATTATCCTAATAATTAAAGGAAGGTTTTATAAATGAAAACTGGATAATCAATCAAGCTCAAAACACATCCCAAATTTTAATCCTCAAAACACATTAGCTTCCTTGAACAAATGTGTCATGCTTGATGGGTCATAAATCTCATTGAGATTTAATTCGTGAATCAATCCAATTGCTTGGGTTGTGCTTAAATGAGCCGAATCTAAGTGCATCAATAAGTGTGTACTATTCAAAATGAATAAAGAAAAAGATGCAAACAATGATGCGTTGTCAACTTGTGTCGTAAATTCTTATGACTTTTCTGGTTTGCTTTGTCATTTTGTTTTGATGAAAACAATGATAGTTGTGTTGTGTTATACCTTCAGGTTACATCAGGGAGCAATATTCCATCAAAAGGAGTCCAGTCTTCTGGTTAGTACTGGATAGCAGTTTTTTATTTATTTTGGGCTTAAAATATGAAGAAAAATTCATTTTTTATGTGTCTTATTTCGGGGTTCAGTTGGCTAGATTGCCATTAAACAAGTTTTTTATGCTTGCAATATATCTTAACATTATTAACTCTTTCTAGGGTAGTGCTGGTTAGCCTTACTTTTATACAATGTTAATGAGGTAGTAACTTATTGGTGGCCCATATAATTAAAATTCATTTTATTTGCCATGTCAAATTTCACATGTGCTAAACAGATCACAAGAGCTAATGTTAATAACATGCTTATTTTAGTTTATTTTTTCCTTATTTTCAGGAGGAGCTTCTGGTGACAAGTCTAAGGTATATACTGTCAAGTATCAACAACTGTTTCAGCTTTGTACTGACCTTTTTAAATCTTGTACTTGATTGTATGTGATTATTGGCTTTCATTCCTTTGCAGGTGTAGAATAAAATTTTGAGTAAATTACAATGTCACCACATTAGTCCTTTAAAGATCTAAAATGTCACCATATCTGTCCTTTTAGGACTACGCAAAAGGACAAATTTGGTAGCTACAGTATTTTTGACTAACTTTTTTAAAACAATCTTTGTAAAACTAATGTGGTGACACAGTACACACTAATATTTAAAGGAAGTAGAGGTTTTACTCACAGTGGATAGTATTTATATAACTGTTGGTTAATTGTATTATGATGCAAGAACATGATGAACAATAAGACATAAACATAATGAACAATATGCTTACAATAGGTGACATGAGGTGTACTGGTCTGAATTTAGGAGTCGCATCTTTTCTGATTTAAAGGTTAAAGCTAGTCTTTTAGCTAGTTTTTTGAGACTGAATCCTTATTTATTTGTTAAACTTGGTTTGCTTATGCTAAGACTAATTACTGTTGTTTGTATTCTACCTATATTCATGACAAGTACATGATTGGAACATGTTTGATGTGTTGGTGTGATAACATTCTATTTCTGCCTTCAAATGTGGTTTTTTTAAGGACTTCTGAAGACAAGTTCATTTTTTAGATTCTCTGATGAAGTCTTTATGGTTGCAGGAGTCTGATTTTGAAGCCAAAGTTGCAAAACTTGTTGAGTTGGGATTTGGAAGAGATGCAGTTATACAAGCTCTTCAATTGTTCAATGGCAATGAGGAACAGGCAGCTGGGTTTCTTTTTGGAGGCTGAAAATAACATTTCTTATTGGAAAGGATTAATTGGATTAGTTCAAATGATTTTTACTTTTAGCCAATTTCTTTACAAATTCTAAAAACAAAATCATAGACCTGATGGCATTTATTGGGAATTGTTCATGTAAGGAATGTTTTTCTTTAATTGATAAACCAATTTATAGTTACTCAATGCTTATTATGTAATCTTTAGAGGGTGAAGAAATTTTTTTGACAAACTTGATTTCTAAAGGGTCAGTATATATAATATGAACGGGGAAGGGTCATTAACCAAACAAGTTTATGTGAAAAATTTAAATTGCTTCATGGGGCTATCAACTTTGTATGTATGAATGAATATGAATAAAATTACAAATTTGGGAGGAACGTCGCATCACATGTCCTCTCTATGCAATGTAAAAGTTTTGAATTTCAATAATACAGCATATTCTGATCAGTGCTGGCAAACACCTGAGCAAGAATTAGTGTTACACCCAAAAAATGTGAAGACATTTCATGAAAATAAAAAACATGAACATCAATGTTGGCTATACCGAGGGGTGTAAATAGGTTGAGTAAGGCTTTGATTTAAATAATTTAGATATATATTTACAAAAAATAATAATTTAGATATATATAAAATATTTTGAACCTAGCTTAACCTATTCATTTTGTGTAGGCTAAATTATAAATATTTGTATTTAAAAATTAAGAGGTTGGCCTATGCCTGTTAATTTGTTTAAGTCTATTAGATTTTCAAGACCTATCAAGAGTTATAAAAAATAATTGAAACAATAGTTTTTATTATATAAAATTATTATTAATAATTTTATTTTATATTATTTAAAAATAAATAATATAATATAAGCTTGCGTGTAGACATAGAGCCTTGTAAAAGAAGACATAATATATATTTTCTAAATAGGTTATTTTAAAGAGTACGAGCCTATTTTATTTTTATAATTTTTTTTTTGAATATTATTTATCAGTTCATCAATTACTTGACCAATTCAATTTGAGCCAGATAAAATCACATGGGAAACAAATGTCTCTATCAAATTTTAATCCAACTGTGTTTCAGAACTCGAACTCTAAACAACTAATTAAGCTAGAATAATCCCTTACCGGTTGCGATCTATATAGGTCACGTAATTTTCTTTTCACAATTATTAGTATTAGATTGAGTTTAATTATAGCCAAATTAGAATGGATGGTTCCGATTAAGAAGACTTATTCTTAACAAAAAATGAATTTTATATATATATATATATATATATATATATATATATATATATATATAAATGTAAGAAACATATCAAGTGAAAGCATACAAAATGATATAAGATTAAAGGGTTAACTTTTTCTATAGTTAATATAAGGGTTTTATTAATCTCATGTTAAAGGAGATAAGTTATCTCATGTTACAGAAATAAACTTGTAAGCTCCACCACCTAAAAAAGAAAAAAAAAGAAGATGATACAGTTATCGAAGGATGTGTAGGAGAGAAATTTATCACATGTAACATAAGAGTAGTTTTTCTCTTAATATAAATAACTTATTTACATTGAATCTAAAATAACATCGTTTTGAGTCAGAAATCAATATATTTTTTAATCAAAGTCTTTTTCATTGTAATTTTTTAATTTTCCAACCCAAAACAATGTTAGTTTGGGAACGTAGATAAATTATCTACATTCACTATAGAAACATTAAAGCCTAATATTAAATTATAAAAATTAACTATCCTCTCCTCTCCTCTCAAGCCCTCACCTAATACACCGCAATGTTCCGCCCCATATTTCATGTATTGCAGGTTTTGAACTCTAGGGAAATTACAAAAAAATGGATTAATAGTTACTGCATTCGAAAAGACCAGAAGATAAGCGAAACAAAGTATAAATTGATTGTCTATTAAACCTTGATGATGATCTGGGCACATTACAAGACAGAAACTAACCAGTATTTCCGTAACAATCAAGCAATAAACATTAATAAATAACTCTACAATAATGTATTAATGTTCATAGGCAAAACTTCACTTCCAAGCGATGCTCTTACATTCATAACTTGATTTTAACTTAACAAATAGCTTAATTGAATCAAATTAAGCAACCACAGTGGCGGGGCTTCCATACAATACTCAAAAAGAAATTACAGAAAAATCTATGGAAACAGAAACAGGAAAAAGTTCCTACAATGCCACGATTAAGAGAGGATCAAAACCTTTCTGCCAATCTAGCAGTAACTGCTCTTAGTTTGGAATATACTTTTCCTGCTGGTGATCCCAGGATTAAGCTACAAAGAGAATCCCTGGCAATCTTAATGTTGGAAAAAGATCCCAATATGTGAATTTTGGTGTCAGCAATCACAATTCTTGTCTTTGTTGCATTCTCTATTGCAAACTTTGTTTTACCACCTTTACCAGATAATCTTCCAATAGCACGGGACAAGTGATCACCTCGAAGTGTTTTAACATCCTTGATCTCAAAGGACTCAACATAGAGCTCATCCAAACGCAGAAGAGCAATGGCATCTATGACATCAAAACCAAGCATGAAAGCATGCACAAAATCAGCACATTTTTGCAGGTTACTAATATCAGGTGTATCACGCCTTGTTTTCAGCTCAACTTTCCGAGCCTTTAAATTCATGCGTATGTCAATCTTCATCTGTTCATATATGGGAGCATAGATATCCATCCAAGCTTTCTTCAGAGGGGTATAACGATGCGGTGGAACAGACACTTTGCGGAACTGAACCTGACCATCAGACATCTCATGAGGTTTCAAAGGCTCAAACTTTGGCTTTGGTGGCAAAAGTTTGAGTTCAGATAGGGTAGCTTCAATTTCCATGGAAGAAGATGCCTCGTTTGACTGCATTGTGCAACCTTTCGAAGAGCACCCCAAAATAAAAGTTGATTTAAAATCTACAGAAATAAACATAAAAATTAAATGTTAATAAGCCAAAACCTACTACTGCATTAATAGGTATGAGAATAGCAGTTCAGCGACAACATTTAAGGGCATATTAAACAAATTTCTGTTAGCAATGTTGGTGATCACTATTACAGAGATTCATAACTTTGAGCCAATACCAGTACTACCTCATATATCTAACAGATTGCAAACCTCAATCAGTTAAATCCTATGCTAATGTATTAAACAATAGACTTCACCTCATTGATAGTTTTTGAAACATTTGCATTTTCTATAGTATTCAGTAATCAAACAAGGGGACTGGAGCCGTTGTTTGATTATAAACAAAATTTATCCTACAAAATAAACCCTTTTGATTCTTTCATCTCTTAAAGTAGGTGTTCAAATTCCTATTCCCCCACATGTAAAAAATTAAATAAAAGAAAAAACCCTATTAAATCTCATATAGTCTCTTAAGTTCAAACACACAGAGATTCAGGGTTCAAAAAGAATCAGTAAGTCAAGGATCAAATAAGATAGAAAATTTTAAGTCAGTCATACTACCATATTGACAAACAATGAAGCTTTTCTCATGTTGCCACAATAACAGATCCAAAAAACAATCGAAAACTGCTCATATTGCCTAAACAGATAAATTAAAACAATCACACAGATTATAAATACGCTCTTTACATCCACAAAACAGAGAAAAAAAGTGATAATTGAAGTCACAAATAACCATACGATCAAACCCCATTTGATTTGTCAAAAAGAAAAAAAATAAAATTTGAAGGAACCCCATGTCGTTCCCTAACTCTCACTTTCACACCCACTGAAAATCTGGTTCTGATTTCAGAAACCAAATTTGAGGTGGGTTTGCCTCGCACAATCTCTTTTGGCCCCAGAACACACTGATTCAAACGATTAGTTCTGAAAAAGTGAGAGAGAAAGAGAGAGAGAGAGAGAGAGACAGAAGAGACAAGACGATGGAACACGTACCTGCGATTGCGAGCAGAATATGGGAGCGGCTCTATGAGAAACAAGGGCAACAACAGAATAGATGGTACGAGGGAGATGTCTAGGGTTTATAGGATGATTTTATTTATTTATTTATTTTTTTGTAATGTTATAGGATGGTTTTAGATAGTAATATTTTTATGTTTCAAATATTACTTATATGTATGGGACGTCATGACGTTATATTTTTATGTGTGGTTGATTTACTTTTGACGCAATAATAATAAGATTAAGATTAATATTTTATATCATAGAAGTTAATTTTATTTTCTACATACAAATAGAAATGTGTTGAACTTATATGAGGCCAGGAAAAATAAATAAAAAAAGTATAGATCTCGTACACTTTTATATACGTGTAGAAATTAAAATTATATCCTAGAAAAACATAAATTCCATCTAAATATATCTAAAATATTTTGATTAAATAAAATTTATCATTTATCTGGAGCAATAAAACTACTGAAGTAAATTATCATCAATTCAGGATTTTATTTGTTAGTATTAATAATTGGGTTTGATTTTTGTCATTTTAAATGACATAAGTTATATCATTTTAGGAGAGAGATAGACACAAAGAATGGAAATATATCATTTTCTACATAGTATATTTCAAAAACTAACTACATACTACAGGTAGTACATGATTTCTGAAGAGAGAAAAAAACTATGTACTACTCGTAGTACATATTTAATTTCTGAAATACACTATATACTACCCGTAATACATAGTGTAACTTGACCAATCTTTAGGAAGGGACACGGAAGACTGTAGCATAATCGGCGGGGTATTTTCAGTGTTTGTGTCATCCATGATTTGAGAAGTTCCTCTCCTACTCACTTCATATAATATTATTACTATCTTTACCCTCTCTCTCTCGAAGAAACTCCAAGAGTTTCTTTAAGACCGCCTTCATCAGGCAGGGAGCATGTCATCGGAGATGACACAGTGGTAGGCTCTGTTACCAAGTGGTTTGGGAGCCTCACAATCCTTAAGAATCCATAGACTAGTCTTCCTTTTACCTAAGCATTTCATGGCAAACCTTTGCCTCTTAGTTTTTTTATCGGAGACTATCATCCATGAGTCCTTAAAGATGAGAGGACCGTAATACTGGATCATTACAGAGTTCACTTTCTGATACACGTGATCCCTTTGCAGGGCAAGTGTAGAGCATACTAACTTTCTTATCCAAAGATTAGCAATTATAGTAACTGTTGGATATATGCTCTTTTGGTCACTAAAGTCCTATTGGGCTTCAGTGAAACTTGAGCCCATGAGGCTTAGGGTTGAGTTATGTCTAAGACCTAAGCGTATATATTCATAGTTTTCTCCTCTTGTGCCTCGGAGGTGATCAGATCATCAGAAACAAACCTAAGAGGCAGACGTTCATCATCTGAACGGTTGCCCACACAACCATCTCATCCTCCTCGAGAGATAGTCTGGAAGATCTGCCACAGTCCAGCTTCAAGGAGGTTGTTCGTGCTGCGGCGCTGAGGTGAGCTGTTCGTGAAGAGGAATCCTACAAGGGAAGATTCTACACGAGACCTGCGCACCGAGAGGTAATTGTGAAACGATGATGATTCGGTAAGCATACCAATGTACTAGGTCCTAAACCGCTTCCGCATAAATCTAAGATTTCCTTCAATTGGTATCAGAGCCTTGGCTGTACATTGGTATGTGAATCTAGTTTCACTATTCATGTAATTAGTTTTGCTTCTTGAAATGTGGCACCTAGGGTTCTAGGATTATGGTATGAATCTAGCATGTGTATTTTATAATTCATTTTCATAAAAGATTAAATTTTAATCGGTAAAAATGCTTTAATCCATGGTTAAGGTCTCTCGTGTATTTCTCGATTTGTAACAAGGAGGCTAATCCCATATGATTAGGTTTCCTCCTTGCTGTTTTTGTTTATTTTTGGAATTTCTGTGTATTTTTCAAATATTTTGTAAAAGTTCAAGATCGAGAAACCGCGAGTAAGATGCGCAGTCAGAACTGTCGGAGACTTTTCGAGGTCTTCCCGATCTCGGAATGAGGCGATCTATATATGGTTGGAAAGAGGACGGAAAGACGAACGCAACGGTGGGTGTCTTACCGCCATCTGAGTTTACACGCGCCTCCACGCGCCTCCACAAGATTCTGAGAGTGGCCGCCACTCTCCGGAAAAGAATGGGAGAGTGAGGGAGCGTCCGGCCACCTTTTTGGGTGATTCCGGCGGCGGTGCACTCGTCTCTACGTGGCGGTCCTTCCCCTGGAGTTTCAGCTTGATTTGACTTCGGGTGACGGCGCGGCAGACCTGACGGCTAGGGTTCCTCTTTCGCGTCCTAGGGTTTCTCGCCAAAGGATTGGGTCTTTGGGCTTTTGGGCCCATGAAACCCTAAAGGGGCTTGAGACAGATACTATGGGCTAGGCGAAAGTTGAATTCCAAAGTTGTATTATTTTATTTTATTTTATTTTATTTTCTTTAAAATAGGAAGGCCATGGATTAAAGTAATTATGATTTATTATTTAATGCTTTTATTGATTGGTATAAATTATATGATAGATAACATGCTTTAATGCGATAACATGCCATATAGAATAGGTGGTGCCATATTGTTGCATAACTTGTATGATTGCATGAGCATAATAGCTATTATGTCTTCAGCGACTAGTATGATAGTTATTATAGGATTATTTTGATTTTAAATCATCCTAAGAAATTAATTAATAATTATTATGATTTTTATTAAAAATCTAGATTAATAATTGAATTAATTAATTTTGGATTATTAACATCAAGACAAATAATCGTTATGGAAATTATTTTGATTTCAAATTATCCTCATAAATGATAATTATTATGATTGTTGCAATCTAGATTAATAATTAAGTCAGCTATTTGGATGATTTAAATCTAGAAAAATAATTAGAGAAAATTTCTTGAGAGAATTCTTTTATTTTGCGAGTAATTTGTAGGGTTTTCTGAAATGGTCATGGAATAACACACGCTGCATACAACATTCATGTATCATGATTGTTTGGAGCACACGCTGACGTAAAGTGACCGGATTTCAGGACCTTAATGCTTTCAAAATTATGTTAAGCTTAGTGCACGTTTATCGGCGCTCTTACTTATATAGTTTTTGAAATCAAACAAAGGATACTCTCAATTAAATAATTCTTGGAAATTAGAAAATGTTGCTTATGTTGAATGGAAGGAGATTTAAATTAAGAGATTAATTCAACCTTCAAGCGCATTATAGGACCATTAATAAAATAATCATGTGAAGTCCCATCGAATAAGCATGATTGGATTTTATTAGATTGGACTTAAATATCTATGGGAGGAGATTTAAATTAAGAAATTAATTTAACCTCCAGGCGCATTGTGGGCCTATCAATAAAATAATCATGTGAGGCCCCATCGGATTAGCATAATTGGATTTTATTGGGCCTTAATAATTTCAAAATTTTAATAAAGTATTGTACGGCCTATCGTCGATAATACTAAGTTATTAAAGATAATTTTGAAATTAAACAATGAATTCGACTGGGCTTATGAAAATTCTCAAACAAAAATGTTGAATGGGTGAAGGTTTTAAAAATTAATTAATTTTAAAACCTGCGGGCTCCATTTGTGGGTTTATTAGTGAAATGGTTATCGCTGAAGCCCCATCGGATAAGGATAATCAGATTTCACTAGATTAAATCTTAATAATTTCAAAATTTTAGTAAAGTATTGTACGGCCCATCGTCGGCAATGCTTAGACACTAAGGATAATTTTGAAATTAAACAATGGTTAATTACGTTCAACTTTGGTAAAATTGTTAACCCTCCCATCGAGGCTCTGGCAATGGCACTGAAGGCCCAAATAACAATTTTGGTTTTTACAAGTGACTTGCCCATCGTAAGCCTTGTAAAGATAAACTGAAGGATTGTTAACAATAAACAAGAGTAGTTATGAGAATCTACTTGCACTTCGTTTGTTTATTGCATTATTTGTTTGTAATCGTGTGCTTTATATGTTTTTCAGAAAATATCTTAGAAATGATTTTGAGTCGAAAACCTCTAGATAGTACCAACTATGAATAAGTGAAATGCAATTTTTTTGATATTGTTCTAAAACATGGAAGCTAAAATTTGTTCTGACAATGCGAGGGCCATAGCAACCTGCAGAGGATGCGTCTTAGGAAACTAAGATGCATTTCTCAGATTAGGAAAGGGAAGATATGGTAGTTCGCTGCTATATTATTGTCAGTCTTTCCAAATACTTGCAGAAGCAAGTGTACATGATTAAGAGTGGAGTAGAAATGCTTCAGACTCTTAATGACATGTTTGCTGCGTCTAGCAGCTCTGCTAGACAGAATGCAGTCGGTGCAGGTTTTGCTAAGAGTCTTGTTAAATCCAAAGGGAAACCCAAGGGTGGTAACAAGAACAAAATGACTTGGTTATCAGTTGTCAAACCAGTTGCTATGAAGAAGCCGCAAGGCAAGTTCTTCAAGTGCAGACTGAAGGGATACTGAAAGAAAAATTTCCCAGAGGTGATGAAAAGAACCAGACATGGACATAGATATTTTAAGCTTGAAAATGGAAACTTGTGTCTGCATTTGCAGTAAGACAAGTTATTTATACGACTATGGTTTTGAGTGACTGTTTATTTGTTCCGGATTTCAAGAGGAATTCAATTTTTGTTAGTTGTTTTGGTTAAAACATGGTTTGACAATGCAATTGATTCCTCAGTTACATTTCGAAGTTCATTTTCGTCTTGTTTTGTTCTGGTACATTGTTTAAATAGTCTTTATTACCTATGTCCTATACCCTTTTTAAATTTGTTATGTTGAATGGAAAGGATGATGAACAAGAACGTTCACCAAAGAAATAAAAGTTTCAAATGAAACATAACTTTGGCCTTTGTGATTGAGTCACATTATCTCAAGTAGAGAATATGTTTTAGTTAAAAGAGAGACTGAAAGTTCAAGAATCTTTTAACTAACAGCTACATGTTAGTCTTATTTGGAAGGTAAAGTGGCCAAGCAATCCTACAAGGGCCAAAAAGGTTTGCGCAACTATTCAACTGG